CTCTAGGTTCTTAACTTAGCGCCCGTGAAGATGTGGGAATTTTTTGTGGATTGTTTTAAGGCCACTTAGGTATGCATGACGCGACAGTAACGCCATTCAAATATTGCCACCCCATAGGCCATGCGCCGTTCAAGCCCACTAAAAGTATTTTCGTTGAGTCATTCAGATCTAGCGATTTCCGATTCCGTGAGCACGATTTCCAACTCTAGTGAACGTCAACTGGTCCACACTCAACTTTGAGGAAACAGGGCAAAACTCAATCAGGAATCACGTTTCGCGCTGTCATATAAGGAGTTGGACATGGTTGGTAGTTACTACGGAAATGAGATAATCGAATAACCTGAGAATAACACCTTAACCGAGCATATGTATGCAAGCAAACTATGTAAAACCATGGAAAATGTGCAAAAACACCACCAGCATCGGCCAAAAACACGAGCACATAACGATATTTGACTCGGCAAACACTTCCAGCACCGCCACTGCCATCTTTCGGCGAGTTGAAGTACTATATGCATGTGTTGGGGGAGCTATCTCGCACGGCTAATTTGCCAGCATCTCAGCGTCATACAAACGCTTCATGACGCAATCAAGCAATGACGTTTTGAGAATATCAGTTCTTAAATTGAGAAATTTTGCCATCTACAGCAGTCTTTTCTTCTTAAAAGTGTACCAACACTCATAAGCTACCTGATTTTATCACATCTGATGCTTGGTTCTTCAAACGTGGAACATTCCCGCAGTCATATTACAGGGGGGGGGAGGGGGCTCAGGCACTCCAATAGCATCTTGAGTCACACCTGGATGGACGTCCTCGTTTGTGTTGGGCTATCTATTTTTCACCGCACTTCGATTCACCCATTTAACACTAAGGAAGCCCCTTGCCCCTTTCCGAGCAAGGGACCCAGTGGATAGAGGGCTAGGGGCACATCGTTTTACCGGTCAAGGGCTGAAGGGCCGTTCGATCCCAGCCTGGGGGCCTACCGGCTGCCTGTCTGGCGATACAGGGACTGTACGTATGGGGCTGTGTAGGGGTTTCCGGCAAAACGCATGTGCATGGGTCGTCCGTCTGACGCCGGCGGCCCTCTGACCAGGAAGTTGGGGCCTGAGTCGCCGCGAGGGTTCTCATTGACGCAAAGTATATTCCTTATCGACACGGTGTCCAATAATTGGC